CTAGGATGAGGCCAAGCTCTCCAATATTGCTCCTAGAGGCCACAATAGGAGAAAGCCAGCCAATTTGCAGAGTTAAGAACGCTTCCTAGCAAGTGCTTAGGCTAAATCTACTTGACTGTAAAAACAAAGCCTTAGGCTCACCTAAATCTTGAACTAGATTCCCCTTCAGGAAGGATTCCAGGTCATGAGCTGTCAAAGCAGGCTCTCCACCCGGCTTTCAGAAGAACCTGGTGGCCAGGTCAAGGTCAGATGCAGGGATATCTCCGAGGAGCGAGGGGCGCGGGGCCAGTGGCAGAGGCTGCTGCTGAGAGCCACGTTCTCGCAAGCACTGGGTGGCTCACAGTGGTCCACAGGACCCAGTAGCCAAGACTTTAAACAAAACCTTTTTTGTTTAAAACCCTGCATCACTGGCCGACCAGGTACGATGGGGCCCTCACAGTTGTCAAGGGTGCAGGTTTTTGGGTGAGAGGGAATGACTGCAGAAGACAGCTCTGATTTTCTGTTCACTTCAACGGGAAGACCTGAGAACGTGGGAAGCTTCGAGCTCTCTCTTCCAGGAACGAACACAAGGAATTGCGAGTTTGAAATCGGGGCCACCCAGTGGCCCTGGGGCAGAGGCAAAGGGCAGGTACCTGAGCTAGGACGGGCAGGTTGGTGTCACACTCGGGCAGCAGAGCTACCACTCATGCCATCTCCCTGACCCCAGGACTAAGAAAATTCTTTAAAAGACTGCAATGGAAAGAAGGAAGCGAAGTGCTCTAACACTTGCTATGAACCCAACAGACCCGGGCTACAGTGGCTTAGCCCGCACACTCTTGACACAAAGGCTGCAGTCTTTGCCATCTGTTGCCCCTTCCACCCACATCTCAGCTTGGGCTCTTGCCTTGAGAACAAAAGAATGGAAGAATATACATGATGTCTGCAATACTCATTGCTTCATAAATCTACCTTCTTACACCGGTCACCTCAAACTTTTATTTTTTTGCTTTTGGGGTCACACCTGGCAATGCACAGGGGTTACTCCTGGTTCATGCACTCAGGAATTACTCCTGGTTCATGCACTCAGGAATTACTCCTGGTTCATGCACTCAGGAATTACTCCTGGTTCATGCACTCAGGAATTACTCCTGGTTCATGCACTCAGGAATTACTCCTGGTTCATGCACTCAGGAATTACTCCTGGTGGTGCTCAGGGGACCATATGGGATGCTGGGAATCGAACCTGGGTTGGCCGCGTGCAAGGCAAACACCCTACCCGCTGTGCTATCGCTCCAGCCCCCTCACCTCAAACTTTTAACTAAGGTTTTTTTTTTTTTTCCTTTCACTCTGTTTGGATGGGGGTAGGGAAAATAGGATATTAACTTCAGTACTTCAAGGTGGGTCTCCCTCTCTGAGGCTTGCCTATTCTGAGGTCTGTCTATACAGTCCTGAGTTATTACTCAGTCATTGTGAAGAGCAGCTGACTGAACCTGCCCTGTTACTCATAAACAAGTATGACCAACACCCCAACACCCCAAAACCTAAAGGCAGTGAGTTATTGTGTCTGCATCCCTGAGGGGGTAACTCATATACAAGATTAGCTGAAACCACACTCTAGGGAGTCTACACGCAGGAAGGCAGACGAGGAGCCTGGGAGCTGATGCTTTCTGAGGCGGCGGTGAGGAGTCGAAGCAAGATCTGGGTGGGGAAACCAAGAAGCACCAAGAGACGGCCAGATCCCACAGTCAGTCAGCAAAGAACTCACTCCCACTGGGCGTGTTCAGGTGTCTAGTGACACATGTGTGTATCTTCACGTACTCTAGGCTATCTAGAACATTCTATTTGGCCAGTGACCTAGGCGTGGCCAACATGCAGTGACTGTCCCTTTACAGTCCACATTCCTTTTATTAAATCTCACTGGAATGGGGTAGGAGACCAAATTAGGCAGTGTCTGTGAAAAATCACCAACGTCCAGCGAGAAGGCAGATGTGGGTAGATAACTGTGCCAAGAGGTTCCTGACAGCGCGACCCCCCAGTTCAACTCTTGCTTTCAAGAGTCCTTTGCTTGCAATGGAAACACTCTTGGAAGCCATAAGATTATAAATGCACATGGTATAATCCACTCCAGGAACATCATAACATGGCATAGTCGCCGGCAGTCCTTTCAGATCGGAGTTAGACAAAGCATCAAAGAGGTTCGGCGGCCTTTAGTGACACTGAGTGCAGGAATCAGGAGACGGCTGGACAAGATCAACGGGAGAGTGGAAAAGGGAACCGACAACAAAGGCAACCAGACTTTATTGAACTGGAAAACAGAAAGCAGTACCAGGGACAAAGATTTAAAAGGGGGAAAAAAGTGAGGGAAATAACTGGAGGGGGAAACGCAAGTAGACCCAAGGAAAGGACAAGACGGGTGGTCTGTGGGGCCCCCTGTGTGCCTCAGAGACGCGCAGGCCTTCCCGACTTTGACGAAACTCCAGCACAAACAGATCGTGAGAGAGAGATCCAGCCTTTCCTTTCTGATCTCTGGAGCTGGTTTTGCCTTCGGCCCTGGAGTCACAAAGGATTTTGGGTGGACAACACGGAGGGTTTCCGAATCCAGGCTTGCTCCACCAAGTAGTAGATTCGGCTCTGCGAGGCGGCGTCTCCTATTCGCACTCACCAGAAATATCAGAGGCCCTCGGTCCAAGCCCCACATCTCAAAGAAAAATATCAAACCTTTAGAATTTGTTATTTTATTAAATGGTATTAATACACATTTCAAAAGGATTTCATTGTTGACCCCCCTGGAGCCAGGACTTGCTTTCCATACTGAACACATGAGACTATATTAACCCGACAGATCTAATTTTTATCTTAACAGTGACCTTACTCATGTGAAAAAAAAATGGGGGGGGGGCTTGTAAAAGGGGCGGGGGGGGAGAAAAAAAATAGCCGGGGTGGAGAAGTATCGTACAGCAGCTTCAAAACAGTATCAGCTGAAGCTTAGTTCTGCATGAACCAATAACTTCAGGAATAAGTTTATCTGCAATGAGGAAGCAGTACAGATTGGCATCAGCCAGACAGGTCTGCTGTACCATCAAGTTCATACACAGTATTCCTGGGACCAGAAATCGAAGTCCAGCCAGCAGCCCATTTGAACCTTCCTAGAATAAAGCCAGACTCTGTTTACTGACAACTTTGGGGAAGCAGGGAAGAGAAGAGAGGTCATATCTCTGCGCTGGAGAAACTCAAGGCTGGTTCTGATACTAAGTCACTGGGGGCAGGGCCCAGGGCACGCACGCCCACCGCTCCTGTCTTCGTGTCACAGTGAGCACCGGCACCCCGAGCACCCACTTCTCACAGCCTGCACTTGTGAATCATGTCCTTGCTAAGACACACTGTGTGATGCTTTCTTTAAAAAATAGCTTGTTTATTGTTTTAAACTCAGGTTGAAATACAAAAGTCATTGAGTGAGTTTTAAATCACAGACACAGAAAGAATAAAACCCCCTTTGTTTCATGTTATGAAGACCAGAATTCTTTTTTTTGTTGTACTATATCACATATGTACATTGTCATCTGACTGACTGCAGACAGGTATCCTAGAAGTTAATAGCCAAGAGTCACATACAAATCCTCACGTCCACTCTGAAACAAACACACCAAGGATTCTGTGGCTTAAAAAATAAAATCTTCCACACGCCAAAAATACAAAAACAAACAAAAAAACCCCAACACTCCCCCCACCCCACCCCCAACTCATAAAAGTCCATTTTTTAAACTACACCAGTTCTTCCTTTCATGCTTTTTTGAGGATAATTATTTTGAGGATAATTACCCTGTCCGACACTCAGGAAGCCACTTTCCTCTTATCCCCACATTTTCTGACAAATTCAAATGGTCAGAGAGCTTTTTCAAGTAAACACTACTTTCAGCTTAAACAAGAGCAGCAGAAAGAATTCACATTCTTTTATTCTAGAGTAAAAAATATTTCACTTAATTTCTGGGGGCAAAAATCTATCAATAGTTTTCAGCAGAATAGAATTCTCACCGCCCTCCCCTCCCCCTCTCCCCTGAACAAACGTCTTCGGACTCAGCTTTGCTTGACCGTCTCTTTTCTTTTCCACCCTCTCTCTCCTACCTCGTTATATAGAAGGTCGTGGCAGCACACATTTTCATGGAGAGAACGGTAAGGCTCGACAAACTCAAAGAAGCAACATTTGGCTTAAGATCAGAAACACATTAGGGAGATGAGTCCACGAACAAGTGCAGCGTTCTACCACGGAACACACAGAAACCCGCAAAAGTAACGTGGAATAAACACACGGAAGCCCTCAGCTGCTGAGTGCGCACCTGGTTCCGGGTGCTGTTTCTGGAAAGCGAGTTTAGTCTGAGACAGAGAAATCACCTTCTGTCGCGACCTCGCCCCCACCTCCGACCGTCGTATTCCACTGGAGGAACCCAGAAGCAGCCTGAACTTCCTAGAGTAGTAATCTGACAAGCTGGAGGCAAGATCGAACTTGCTCCGACACCCCAGTAATGCAGCACGTGCTGTTTATTCGTCCAGAGGGAGGCTAACAGGATGCAGCTTAGGGGTCACTATCAAACAACAGAAAGCAGTCAAACGACGTTTGCTTTTCTGTGGCCCGAGATACAGATACAAACACAGCGCAGTGGTTTCCTTCCCAGTGCCGTGGGAGAAGAAAAGCACTTTTTTCCGAGTAAAATGACTAAGGGCAGAGCCATCATTTCCTGCTGGGAGTGGACATGAGTGAGGTGGGTGGATTTGTAGTCACCTCCAGCCTGTCCCCGTTTGGATGCAACTAAGCGCTACTTATCACCAAGGTACATCTGCACATGAAGGTCATGCAGAGCCGCTGCTGAGCCTCGTCCTCGAAAGATCAGGAATAACAGGACGTGGCACGGGCAGAAGGAAGATCAAAGAAGGCAACGGGCTCCCCACTGGGTTCCAGCGCCCTCGCCCACCGGGTAGGGCTGTGCTCAAATGTCTCCCAGTGAGGTGGAATCCAGGGAGGGAATTTCAGAGCACCTTTGTGGCAATCATCAGTCCCAGGGATTTTCACCAAAGTCTAAGGGAAACAGAGAAAGAGACACACGGGAAGGAGCCACCTGGTACTCGAGGGCCAGGCAGGTGCGTCAGCCACAACTGGTCCCCCCCTCTAACTGCTGCTGCTTCCGGAAACCCTCAGTTCAATTCAGTGTCCTCCCCGGCACCCCAAGGAGAAGGAACTTTCACACTAGCACAGGAGGAGGCTTCAGCTCCCCGAGTTTTACCGCCGGATGATACTTTAGAAGTGGGTGGTTGGGGGAAAAAAAAAGCCAAGGAGAAAGGACTCGATTTTGACAAGGCTTTAAAGTGAAACAAAACAAGGCAAAGCAAAACAGACCCGAGTCTCCCACATTTCCCCCCGGCCACCCCTCCTGCCCCGGCAGACACGCAGGGAAGGGAGGGACCGGCCGGTGGCTGGCCACTAGGCTGGAGAGCAGACAGACAGGCAGTGCCCGTCCACTTGCTGCTTGAGAGCCAAGCCCCAAAGAACACCCCAACATCGAACGCATCGTTTTCTGCACTGGCAGACGTTTTATTTCAGATGTGAGACTCTTCCACAGCTGGACAAAAGACGTCATTCTCCTGCCCCCCGATCCTGGCCGCGCAGAGAGGCTGGTCGTGTCTCTCTGCGGGCTCCCCGACACCCCCCGTTAGAAACAGGGACCACTCCGGTGTGGCGGGCAGGCAGGTGCGGCAGGAGGCGGGCGACTGGACGAGAGTGGAACGTGAGCACTGACCACGTCCGCCCCAGGAGGGAGGAGGCCCTTACGTCCTATCAACCAAAAACAAAGCCGGGAAACAAAAGGAACCGGAAACCAAACTCCTACTGGCAATGCTCTCTAGACCGCTCGCTCCCGTCAGTACCTGGGAGGGAAGAACGGGCGTTTTGGTGCAAAGAACGGCGGGCCCCGGGCGAAGGGCGGCCGGGGTCTCTTGAGGCTGTGGAAGGGGTCTCTGCCGACGAAAGGCTCCCGCGGCCGGAAGTCGGGCCGGGGGTTCCGCAGGAGCATGCCGCTGCGGCTCAGGGTGTCTCTGTGGGAGGGGCCCAGGGGCGCGCTGCTGCCGGTCGTGCCCGCGCCCAAGTGCTCCAGGGAGTGGGCGGGCAGGCTCAGGGCCTCGCGCGCGCGGCCCAGCCCCGGGCCGTTGAGGTCCCGCTGGGCGGGCGCCGCGTGGTCCCTGGGGCCGGCCAGCACCCCGAAATGCTCGGCCAGGGCCCCGGGCAGGAGGGCCCCGTGGTCCTTGGGGAAGAGCGCCGCCACCGCGCCCGCCACCCCGTGCTCGGCCAGGGCCGGGGCCGGGAAGGGCACGACGCCGGCGTGGTCCACGGCGGCCGGCGGGGGCGGCGGCGCGGCGAAGGGGACCCCGCCGCCCCCCGCGGCGCCGTGGTCCCCGGGCGGCGGCGGCGGCGGGGGCCGGGGCCGCGAAGGGGACCCCGCCGTGGTCCCCGGGCGGGGCGGCCTCCTTGGCGAAGGGGCCGGCCAGGTCCACGGCGGGCAGGTGCGCGGGCGCCTCGCGCGGGAAGAGGCCCCCGTGGTCCGCGGGCGGCGCGGCGGCGGCGGGGGGCGCGGGCCCCACGGGCTCCCGCGCGAAGGGCTCCAGGGCGCCGGGGCCCGGGCGGCGCTCGAAGGAGGAGTTGAAGCCGCCGCCCCCCGCGCGGAAGCCGCCCGCGCCCTCGGGGAAGGGGGGCGCCCGCTCCGCGTAGGCCGCGGCCTTGAAGCCCGCCAGGCCGCCCGCGCCCCCCAGCTCGGCGGCGCCCGCGGGCCCGTTGTCGAAGGCGCCGCCCGCGCCGCCCAGCTCGAACCAGCCCCCGCGCGCCGCCTCGCGCCCGTGCCCGCGGCCGCCCTTGCCGGGCAGGCGCACCGACTCCACCGTCTGGATGGGCTCCCCCGACATCCTCCGGGCCGCGGCGTTGCGGTAGCCCAGGGTCTCGATGGGCGCGCCCTTCTCCTCGGCGCCCTCGGGCGCGTCCGGGCCGGCGGCCGACACGCGCGTCTCGATGCGGAAGCGCTCCTCGGGGGGCGCGGGCTCCGGCGCCAGCGCCCCGCGGCCGCCCAGGCCCCCGCCCTCGGCCGCGCCCGGCCCGAAGAGCGGCTCCTCCGCGGGCTTGCGCGAGGCGTTCTTGAGCATGTTCTTGAACTCCACGGCCGAGGCGGAGGAGATGCCCGCGGCCAGCGCCTTGTCCACGGCCGCGGCGGCCTGCGGCGAGAAGAGCGCGCGGGGCGGGCCGGCGCGCGGGGACTCGGGGTAGGGCTTGGCGGGCAGCCCCAGGCCGCCGTGGCCGGCGTCGGGGCCGAAGAAGGCGTCGCTCTTGCCCGGGGACGGGGAGCGCTCGGCGCCCGGCTCGGCGCCCGGCAGGCCGAAGGGCCCGAAGAGCGCGGGCGGGGAGGCCAGGAGGTCGCAGGCGTCGCCGGCGTCCAGGAGGGCGCGCACGGCGGCGGGGAAGGCCGCCTTGGCCGCGAACTCCGGCGCCCGGTGGCTGTAGCTGGACAGGATGGGCTGGAAGTCGGCCGCCTCCGGGAGCTTGCTGGCCTTCAGGATGGACTTGGCCGGCTTCTTCTCCAGGTTCATCATGGCAGAGGGCGGCGGGCCCGAGTACTCGAAGTCCCGGTAGTCCTCGTCCTCCTGGAAAGGCGCGTCCGGGAAGAACTTCTCCTGCGGGGCGTCCATCAGCGCGGCGGGCCTCTCCAGGCCGTCCGGGGGCGGCTTGTAGGGGGACTCGCCGCCCAGGCCGAAGGCGCGGAAGGGGGCCGCCGAGCTGGGGCGCTCCCGGGGAAACGGCTCCTCCCGGCCCGGGGGCGGCGAGCGCGTGCTGCTGGGCGTGGACGAGCCAGGGCTGATGAGTTTCGAGAGCAGGGACATGGTGTCCACGCCGCCGGACGCGGGCTTGTCCATCATCTCGTCCTGCGTCGGCGTCCCGCTCCGCTCGTCCCGCACAGGCGTCCCGTCGATGTTGTCCACGGCGGCGCTGCTGGGGCCGCGCGGGAAGTCGGCGGGGTTGCTCTCGGCCGGGGTGCTGGCCCCCAGGCTGCTCAGGATGGGGATGTTCAAGTTCAGGCCGCTGAAGCCCGGGTTCCCCTTGAGGAAGTTGTGGATCTTCATCTCCAGGCTCGGGGACGTGGACTCCGACTCCAGCTTTGGCTTGGGGGTGTCCGAAGACTGGCACGCCGAGACCGCCGGGGCCGGGGCCGCAGCACCACTGGGCGTCGCATGGGGCCCGGTGAAGCCCAGCGAGTTGGACGGGAGCTTGAAGGGGGTGCCCAGGAGCCCGGGGCCTGGCCCCACGGAAGCCTTGCTGGCCGACGTGGAAGAGACTTCCGAGGCGGCGGAGTTGGGAGAATAGCTGAAGCTTTTGGGCATAAAGGCCTGGGTGCTGGGCGGCAGATTTCTTCCCTTGAGGCTGGGGACGGTGGTGCTGGCGGGGGAAGCCAATGTGCTCTGGGGTGCGGAGTCACTGGCCGGAACGGGGTTCCCAGTCACACTCTGCAGCAGAGATGACAGGCCTGGAGAAACAAAGATTAGAGGGTTTAAACAGAAACTCCCTTCCTCAGTGAGAAACAAAACACCAGTTGGGCTAATGGGATTTTCTCACTGGCTGCAGTGGGAACCAGAGAGACACTTTAAACAAGGCAGATCGGGCCAGACAAACAATGGCTCGATATCACAGAAAACACTGGGGCTATTTACCATTAGAAAGACAGAAAATCACCTAAAACGTTTCCAGTACAGTCTCAGAACAAGCCCAACACGGAACAATGATGGGCAACAGGAAGGGGAGATTTCCGCGTCAGAGTCACTCACCGTTCAACAAGACAAGACAAGTGAAGAAAGGAAGCAGAAATCATTTCAAAAATAACATTTTAAGCCAGTCTTTCTTCGTGTTAGGCGTGTGAAACCGATTCTCTCAATGCACACAGGCACTCTGTCCAAGACTCCTCCTCCGGTCTGTCTCTAATGTGTGTGCGCTATTCCCGGAAGACAGCACGTGTCAAGTGCAGAGATTTCTTCGAATAAGGAACTCTGCTCTGTTGTGCCAGACTGGAGTGAGCTTTGGGGAAACAATCCTTTTAGCTATCGCTCTTGGTTGTGAAAAGTAGCAACATGAAACGAGACCGGCAAGAGCACGGGCCCCTCTAGAAACACAGTCCCCATCACGAGCTTAGCTGGCTTGACCCCGACACAATTGAACCCACTCACTGAGAGACAACATTTTCTCACAAGCACTGAAAAATAACGGGTGGGGGGGTGGGGGGGAGAACAGAGGTAGTAGTTCACCAAACTGCTCCCATAGGAAATCTTTTAGAAAAATATTTGACAAAGAGATAATGGAATATCCCATCAGTTCAATAATATTTTGGAAACTATCATTTCTGTGCTCACAAATAAAAACTTCCCTGGAATTTGTAGGGTTTTTTTTTTTGCTTTCTGGGTCACACCCAGCGGTGCACAGGGGTTATTCCTGGCTCTGCACTCAGGAATTACTCCTGGTGGTGCTTGGGGGACCATATGGGATGCTGGGAGTCGAACCCGGGTCGGTTGCATGCAAGGCAAACACCTTACCCGCTGTGCTATTGCTCCAGCCCCATGGAATTTGTGGTTTTAAATGACATATTAAAAGTGCTTCTCTGTCATGATAAAGTGAAAAAAGTATTTCATGTTACTTAGTTAATATTTCCTCAAAATTTCAACTTTAATCCTCATTTGTTATAAGATTGAGATCTGGAGAACTTTTGAGGTCATCCCATTCTCGTAAGGTTTTTATTTTTTATTTATTTGCTTTTTGGGTCACCCCCAGCAATGCTCAGGGGTTACTCCTGGCTCTGCACTCAGGAATTACTCCTGGCAGTGCTTGGGGGACCATATGAGATGCCAGGGAATGAATCCGGGTCGGCCGCGTGCAAGGCAAACACCCTACCTGCTGTACTATTGCTCTGACCCGTCAGATTTTAAGGAATTTATTTAGGGGACTTCAGGACCACATAGGGCAGGACTGGGGGCTGCCGGGACCAGCACTCAGTGTTGTGTGAGTTTTTATTGTTAAGCAATGTCACCGCAGTATTGTTTCCATTATGCTCTCAGTGAATGACCCTTTTTTCCTGGGGCTGAGGTTCAAATCCAAGGCCCCCTACTTTTAAGCATGCATCCACAGTTATATCCCGGCCTCCCAAATCTCCTTTCATTTCCAAATAGCTTCCTGGCTTTATAATTTTTTCCCTCCAGAACTTGATCAAACCATTACTAGTACTGCTTTAAAAAAAAGTCCTGGTTTGGGGCTGGAGCGATAGCACAGCGGGTAGGGCGTTTGCCTTGCACATGGCCGACCTGGGTTCAATCCCCAGCATTCCATATGGTCCCCAGAGCACCGCCAGGAGTAACCCCTGAGCATCGCTGGGTGTGACCCAAAAAGCAGAAAAAAAAAAAGTCCTGGTTCAAGGAGAACGTACAGGTGGCAACGTGAGTTCAATCCCTGGCTGGTTCTGCATGATGTCCCCCAAGCCCCGCCAGGAGTGATCTCTGGGAAGGCCAGGATAGGTACTGAGCGCTGCAGGGGTGGCCCCAAACCAAAGAAACAAACAAAAACATCAAAAGCAGAAAGCAAGTACGCAGGTAAGCGTCTGCCTTGCACGTGGCCAATCCAGGTTCAATCTCAAACACGGCACCGTTTACGGTTCTCCAGCACTGCCAGGAGTGATCTCCGAGAATAGAGCCAGGATCCCTGGGCACTGGGCCAGCAGTCATCTGGAAAGCCTCTACATCACACACACACACACACACACACACACACACACACACACACACACACACAAAGCAAGAACTCCAGTTCTTTGAGTCATCTCCCTGATTTTGAAATTTCAGTTCTTTTAACTTGTATCTGGATATTTGGACCATCCCCAGCAGTACTCATGGTCTACTCACTTCTGGGTCTGTGCTCAGGGGACATGACGCTGGGATTGAACCCAACCTTCCACACGCAAAGCGGGCACTCAGCTCATTGAGCTATCTCTCTGAGCCTATCATACAATTTTTTTTGATGGGGGGGGGGTCATAGCTGGCTTTAACTCCTGGCTCTGCATTCAAGGACCACTCTTGGTGGGCTGGGGGAACACATGGAATGCCAAGGATCGAACCCGGGCTGGCCGCAAGCAAGGCAAAATGTGGTAGTCACTGTGCTATCACTCTGACCCCTAACCTGATTTTTAAAAGATATTTCAGCACATCTTTCAGAGACTGTGGGGTAAGTTCTTCAAAAAGACCACTGAGCAATAACTGAGATTTCTGTTGGCAGGTGAAACAGTTTCTCACTATAAAATGTTACTTTTCTTCCACCTTTTTCTCTCGACAAGCCAAACCTGGGGCCAGAATGACAGTACAGCATGTAGGCTATTCGCCTTGCACATGTATGATCCAGGTTTAATCCCCAGCACCCCATTTGATCCCCAAGCCCCACCAGGAGTGATCCCTGAGAGCAGAGACACCTCGGGTATGGTCCGAAAACAAAACCAAAAGCCCAAGTAAACCAAGCCAAACATTGTCCCTGGGGACTCCTTTGTGCTGAAAATATATAAAGAAAGGCTTTGATTCTGTCCCCCTTCAGAGGTTTTGAGGAAACAGCTATTTCAGCTGCTGGGTAAAGTTCTTTGGAGAATTCCATTCCATAAGGTGATAAAACATGACACACTACTCTTTCCTTAGATTGTCTGAAAACACCCCTAGTTCTGCTGGAGAGTTAGCGGATGAAGAAGTCCTGATGATACCGTTTCAGCAACTGCTGAAACGACCTTCATCCTGATGAACCCTCCTTCCTGTACGCTCGCCAAGCATGGCACCCAGAGTTGTGGAGCCCAGACTTCTCCACTGAGAGAGAGTCCAAGGGACGGTGAGGATGGAGGGAAAACACAGCGAGGCTTTTGTTCTGTTTGGGGTCCAAGGGTCTAAATCCAGGGTCTCACAGACGCATACCCCTGGCTCTCACAGTGATTAATTACTGTAACTGCAATGTGCTGACAGACAAGAGACTGGTAGGCAGAAACTATACATGGCCAATCTCAAACTAATTCTTGTGAAATGACTTGTGTGAAATGCTCTATGGCACTACTACTTGGCCGTGGGCTGTGCTTATTTAATACTACTTAGTTCTGTGTAAAATAAAACTTTGTTTTGGGGCCACACCAGGCTCTGCATTCAGCGACCACTCCTAGAGGACCAGACAGGTGCTAGGGACTGAACTGGGTCAGCTGTGTACAAGGCAAGCACCCGCCCTGCTGTGCGACTGCTCTAGCCCCACTCTCCTATATTGTAAGATCAAGCTCACTAAAGCATGCTTGATTTACAAAATAGTTCTAGGCATAAGAAGACCAACAGTCTAGTAGGGCCAGAGAGACAGTACACAGGGAACAGCATTTCACTTGCACACGGACGACCCTGGCTTGATCCTCGGCACCACACACAGTTCCCTGATTGCCACCAGGAAAGGGAGGGAAAAGGGAGAGGAGGAAAGGAGGGAGGAATTTCAATTGTCGCTATTCCGACTGCAACAGGTCTTTCTTCTTGGCTTTGGCGCTGTTACCATTCCAGGTTTGATTCTTTGCTGCTCAGATGCAGCAGGCCCGGCACCCATGCCCAGACTGTACCATCGCTAAGTGTCCCCCGGCAGCTCCTCACCGGGACATGTGAAACAAGAGTATGCCACCACACTGAAAAGACTCTTCTGGGATTCGCGGTATCTACCTCTCATGACCACACAGTGGCTTAAATGAAGCTGCATCTGTACCTGGAGGGCCTGAAAAAGACCACGAGTAGGGGACAGTGTTGGGTACAAAACAGATAAAAAGTGAGCAGAGAATCAATTTTGGTAGAGATTACAGGTGGGCGGAAGCAGGACGAAGCAGAAACCACTTTTCTATAAATAGAGGCACTTAATGAAGTGCCTGCAGAAACACAAGATAATCACTTCTCACAGAGTGCGATCCCACGCGGCCCTTTCTCGCTGTCTCAGCCAGGGTAAACATGAAAATACATGAGCACCCTGACCTGCTACCGCTGGGATAAATGCCCCTAAGGAGTGACAGTGTGGGGCACTTGAAAAAAAATCTGGCTTTCGCCTTGCTCATTCCCGAACACACAGATGCGCGGCCCGTGAGGGGCAGAGCGCCGCTCACTCAGCCTTATTTTCCGGGTACTGCAAGTCTCTTTCCGCTCTGGCATCTCAGAGTCCTCTCAATGCCAGCCTGTGGGTGACAAGACAGACTCTACAGAGAAAAATGAATGACGGCGCACTTCACGGCACCGGCCTCCCCGGAGACAGCCCTGGCCCGGGCCAGCGTCCCGCACTGGTGCTTTACCTTGCAGCGTGGGGGCTGACGGGGCCTGGGTTTTTGACAGAGCAGACAGAATGCTCTCGGGGCTGATGTCCACCTTTGAGAGGATATTCGCCAGAGGGTTGTGAGATGTGGTGGCGGCAGCAGCAGCGGTGGTGGCTACAGCGGCGGCGGGCACGGGAGGTTTCAGGCCGGCACTGAGGTTGCTGGGACTCGTAGGAGTTCCTGGAGACGGTCTCGGTGCAGGACTGACCCCTGCTGGCAGAAAAACGAACTCAAGGAAATGCAACTCAAAAGGACCTCTCCGTTCACAACGCATGCCACTCACTCTTCTGTCACTGATCGGCAAAGGGTCCCAGATGTTGATTTGTACAAAGAAAAGTGGAGACGGAAATCTGTTTCTGCGTGTCTGAAACACCCCTAAAGCAACGAGCTGCCAAGTTTTCTTATCTACAACAAAGAGCTACTCAGTTTTCTTGCATGGGTCTCAGTTTGGAGAACCGTGATCGCAGGAGACTGGAACTCACTTCTGTTTAAAACCAGAAGGGCACCTTTACCTCCTGCAGGTGATGGTGCAGGGATGTCGAGACCAGGTCACTGTCTAACTTGGTCACTGCATATGTCTCTGGGACGGATAATTACTGAGGTCACCCTCTTTCCACAATCAGACTTTCCAACACAAGCGTCAGGTCTGGGTTACAGGGCACCAGCGGGATGCTGGGTTCGGCGCCCCCACCCCCCGCAACAAATGACCTACGAGCACAGTCAGGTCTGGGCTCCCCACCTTCAAAAGCAAATACCACAAAAACCACTGGGTTTATTTTTAAACAAGAAAAAATAAATAAGAGAAAATAAATTTAAACTTTCTTTTAATGATCAAAAATATGGACAGGTTTTATTTCACAAAGAAAAAACAGATGCTAAAGCAAATAAGAAACTTTAGTCACATAACTAATAATCAAAGGAATACAATTCAAAACAATTTTCAAAGACTGAATTTGATAAAGTTATTATTATTTTTTTGCTTTTTGGGTCGTACCCAGAGATGCTCAGGGGTTACTCCTGCCTCATGCACTCAGGAATTATTCCTGGTGGTGCTCAGGGGACCATATGGGATGCTGGGAATCGAACCCGGGTTGGCTGCATACAAGGCAAACGCCCTATCCCCTGTGCTATCGCTCCAGCCCCTTGATAAAGATTTCAAAAATAAAGTCTTAGAATGAGAAACAATGGAACTTTCATATACTTGATATATAATGCATTTGGGGAGATTATTTTGGTTGTAACGTGGAAAAGACTTTGAAAACCTACATACTGATTCTGTTGGAGAGACAGTTTTAGAAATAGAAATCTAAGGTTGAGTTTTTTGGGTCACAGCCAGCAGTGCTCAGAGGTGCACAGACCTGTCTGCAGACCACACACACAAGCCTGACCCTCTCCCAGGCTCGAAGTATCTCCTGACAAAATGAAGTAACTGACCAGGGCTGGACAGCACTCAGCAGAAACAGCAGTGGCCGCTGCCCGAGAGGAGTGGCGTGTGCAGCTGCTCCGCTTCTGAGTGTTGGTCACGCATCCCACCGATAGTCCAGCTGGAACATGTGCTGTGCAGGGGCCTCCAAAGAGCCCATAGGAAGCATCGCTGGGAGGAGCGAGGAGAGGCTCAGGCCCAGAGCGATAGAACCTCAGGTAAAAGGCAAACACCCAACCCAGCTTCGACCCCTGGCATCCCATAGGGGTCTCCAATCAGCCCAGACTGGTCCCTGAGTTCAGAGCTAGGAGTAAGTCCTGAGCACCATCGTGTATGTCGCCACCGTCACCCCCCCGGAAGAAGCCCATTTAATCATCAGTTCTACTTTTAGTGTCCAGGTTGTCTGTTACAGAGTAATAGTGAAAAGTCAGAAACAAACCCGCTGTCTAAAAATAAAGACAAAGAAATGATCCAATGCTAAGCAGTTTCTGAAAAAAAAAAATGCAGGTGCCCAGAATCCTCGGACCCAAGCACTGAACTAGCACCACCAGTGCAGTATCACTGGGAGTGGTTCTGGCTCCAGAGCACAACTGGGGAGCTACATCCTCCCCCACTCCCCCAATGACAAGGGAGGGATACAGCTCAAGTGGGGGAGCACTGGGCCTTGCACACACGAGGGCCTAGGCTCCACCCTGGCACCACGTCTCTGCCATCTCGAGCAACGCCAGGTGTAGCCCCCGTAGCATTATCATAAAAGTAAAATATGGGGGGGGGGGGGGCAGGCAAAAAGATCATACAGCCGGTAGGGTTGTCTGCCTTGCATGCAGCCGCCCTGAGCTTGGCACCCCGTATGGGCCCCTGACCCTACCAGGAGAGACCTCTGAGCACAGTACAGAAAACTCTGAACCCTGCGGGGTGCAGTTCCAAACAAAAACGATTAAAAACGAAATATACAGGTCAGAGTGATCAGTCAATAAACTAAGCTCATGTCTCGCACGCAGGAGGCCTGGGTTCAATTCCTGGCACCTCACAGAGACCCCTAAGTACCTCTGGTAGTAGCACCCCAGCAACACTGGGCATGGCTCCAAATGCCTGGTTTCAAATCACTGCATTATGCAATGATGGAAAGAAACAGAATCACGAATATCTAAACTCTCCAAACAGTCCTATAATGCAGATAAAGTTTTGGCAGAGACAGCATGATAATGAAGATTTTATTCGCAATTTATTTCATGGACTTTAATTTTTTTTTGGCCTTTCTTTTAATTAGAAACGTACTGAAAAGATTTTTAAAACACACAAACAAATGAATGTTTCCACCGGAGAATTGGAAAGATGTTTTGTTGGCGCTCCTCTGTCCTGGGCTCACTTACCAGTACTTTTCATGACCGATGTCAGGCTGCTCAGGATGGAACTTATCTTGGCCAGATCTACGTTGGCCAGGTTCGGCAGAGCCAGCGCCGGAGAAGGCGAGAGGAGAGAAGTGGCATTCACAGGCTTCGGGGGCGGCGCGGCTGCAGCCACGCTCACAGGCACGGGGGCACAGGAAGGGGCCTTCGAGACACTTTCTGTCGGCTTCGCAGGCACGGACGTGGAGACCGCGGACTTGTCCACAGGCTTCTCCTTTCTGTCCTCAACTGCGAAAACAAAGCGAAGGTGGTGATCGACACTGCACTACTTTCTGGCCCGATTCTGCCAGCAGGAGGCAGTTCCTAAGGTTTCCTGATCAGGCGGTGGGCACAACAAGCACTTTGCTTTTAAAGAAACCCACCCATTTCATGACTTAAAAAAAATGACCTTGGGGCCAGAGTGATAGCACAGCGGGTAGGGCGTTTGCCTTGCACGCAGCCGACCCAGGTTCGATTCCCAGCATCCCATATGGTCCCCTGAGCACCGCCAGGAGTAATTCCCGAGTGCGTGAACCAAGAGTAACACCTGTGCATCGCCGGGTGTGACCCAAAAGGAAAAACCAACCAAACAAACAAACAAAAAAACCCCTATGTTTTTAAGGCCAGACTGATCAATAGTATGGTGGGTAAGGCGTTTGTTTTGCAAGCAGCTGGCACGGTTTAATTCCTGGTATCACATACTGTTCCCTGAACCCTGCTGGGAGCGATCCCTGAGCGTACAGCCAGAAATAAGTCTTGTGGCCCCCAAACAACAGACACACGATCATGCATGTTTATGATTCACTTACCTCTGAGCATTGTTGGGTCTGCGCCCCGCCCCTGCCATTATATACTTTATAATAACAATGCAGATCTTTTTTCTGGTTTTATTACTTAAAATGAATTCCTGCCCCTCTCGCGCCATATTTTCTTCTTTCTTTCTTTTGAATACCCATCCCTCCACCAGTGCCCATTTCCCACCATCACGGATCCCAGTATCCCTCCCACCCCCCCCATCCCCCCCATCCCCCCTTGCCTCCGTGGCAGGGCATTCCCCTCTGTTCTCTCTCTCCTTTTGGGTGTTGTGGTTTGCAAACAAGTTAAGCCTGATTTACAGGGAGAATCGTTGAATGATTTCCTTTCCATTGACCACTTTGTATATAAGGAGATGTTCACGCCACATTTTTTTTGAGGGAAGGGGCTGGACCACATCTGGTGGTACTCAGAGAAACCACACAGTACCAGGGACAGAACCTTTGGCCCCTGCATGCCCTCCAGTCTACTAAGCCATCTCCTCAGGTTCCAAATTCCTTCTCTTTTGTCCAGAATGGTATAGGACCCCTGGAGCACTGTCAGGGATCGACCCTGGAAGGCAAGCACCTAATGTTGTTATACGCATTGCAAGGAGTTATAAATATACATATATTTTGTGGTTGTTTTGGCCACCCCTGGCAGTGCTCAGGGGATTATATATGATGCTGGGGATCATATATAATGCCCTACCCGCTTTATTATCTCTCTAGCCTCAGCTTTTTTTTTTTTTTTTTTTTTGCTTTTTGGGTCACACCCGGCAATGCACAGGGGACCATATGGGATGCTGGGAATCAAACCTGGGTTGGCCGTGTGCAAGGCAAACGCCCTACCCACTGTGCTATTGCTCTAGCCCCAGGATTTCCTATCTTTTATATTTGATTTTTGGGCAACACCTGCAGTGCCCAGCTCACTTCAGGCTCTATGCAGTGATGAGGATCAAAAGGGCACGTCGGCAGCTCTAAGATAAGCACCCTGTACCCATCTCTCGGGCCCCCTCAACCATCTTGTGTAACTGCTAGTGATGGAGTCACTGACAAGAAAGCAAAATCCACGAGGAACAATCCCTAATGACACAAGTGCATACCGATGATCTTGGCCCCATCATCCTCCATGTCGGAGAGCTCCATGTCTTCCACATCACGATTATCTGTCGCAGGCTCGGGGGAGGCCGACTTCTCACTCTCCATGGCAGGGGACCGGGACTCCTCACCCCCCATCCCCTGGAAAGGAGACTCAGAGCCAGTTGGGGAGGGAGCGTCCATGCTGGGGGAAGGGACTGGGGATTCCTCGGGATCAGGAAGGGTCGACTTCAGTTGATCCAGCTTCTTCTTTAAGTTGTTCACTCTGTTAGCGAAGGTTTTGTACGCCTGAAAGAGAAAAGGAAGAGTATGCTGCTGAGGAAAGTACCCAAGCTGCTACTCTGACCGCAATTCTTCGTAAGTATTAAGAGTATCAATGGGGGCTGGAGGGACAGTACAGGGGGTAGGATGCTTGCCTTGGATGAGGCTGACCTGGGTTCAATTCCTTTCCTGGCCTTCTAAACAGTGCTCAGAGGACCTGGGCTGCAGACTGGCAAGCCCTGGCTGGCTGCTGGGCATGGCCAGCAGGGTGGGGGGACTACAGAGGCTGTGAAGACAGTGCAGAGGCTGACTCGGGGCCGATCCATCTATCTAACTGCAGAGTCCCCTGAGCACTGCTGGGTGTGAAGACAAATGATTAAAAGATCAAACTGAACAATGTATATGTGGAGTGAGGCACTGGGGGGTGGGGGGTGGGGGGTGAAATATCTGGCTAACAGGGTCCAAAGATGTAGTGCTGCCTGGTGCTGCAGGCCCGGAGACCAGCTGAGACACACCCAGCAGTGCTCTGGAGAAGCCCCCAGCCCAGGCCGCCATCCTCATTCTCTCCTGTGCAGCTTCGAGTCCAGCAACCACCTTAGAAGGGAAACTATAGTATGCCGGGAAGGGGCTCAGGGCCCCCAAACACAGCCAGGCAGGGGCCCCTCTCCCTACCCGCTGCAAATACATCGAAGCGGAAGGGACCCCTTATCCTCACAGTTCTGACAAGCTGAAGGACAGCACAGCGGCAAAGGGGCTGGCCGGGCACCAGCTAACGTGGCTCAATCCTCAGCACCCCACGAGGTTCCCTGCGCCTGCCAGAGTGACCCCTGAGCACAGAGCCAGGAGTAAGTCCTGAGCACCACCAGGTGTGGTCAAACAGCAAGAAGAGGGGAGAAGAGCAGAGGAGAGATGAGAAGAGAGCGCAGGGGTTAAGGCCTGAGCCTGCATGCAGCCAACTCCAGCCCAACGCCCAGGGGTCACCAGCTGCAAGTCCCCGCACCCTGACTGGTGCCACAGGTGACCCAGGGCCCTCACAGCACCACAGCCTCAGTCCCTGGCCTTAAACCAGAGCCCGGAGGGTCAAGAACCGCACTGTCCCTAGGGCACAAAGACAGATGTGGGCTCTGGCAGAGGGTGTCGTCAGAAACAAAGCCAACTGCAAGACGGAAACAGTGCACCCGTTTACAGTGGGATCCACCAATTTCCAGATCTATGATGGTACTGGGAGAGGATAAGCAGGTGAGCTAAATCCGCATGCCCAAGTCTGTCATGGGAGAAGAACCTGTGAGATTCTGAAGAAACTCCCAAGAGTGCCAGAGATAAGAATGTGAAGACGCCCTCTCCAGGGCCACCCTGTGGTGACGCCTGCACGGATTTCCATGTATGCAGAGAAGCCCTGAGGATGGAAGTGCTGAGGGCTTGATGACAGAGTCCTTCTTTTGCGACTTTCTAGGGTTTGGAGCAGGATGGCTTCTCTCAGATCTGCTGGCCACCAAAGAACCTTCACAGCTTCACGACTAATCTCAAAAGAGACGCCAAGCCAAGCCAAGCCAACGAAACTCAAGGGTACACCAGTCCTCAGGCTGAACCCTCTGGAGCGCTGCCAGGAGGGGGACAGCTGAGTCTGCTGAGCCGCTACGCTCTGGCACCCACACCCCACACCCCACAGCCCAACTTCACTGCTTCACAACTCATCTCAGAAGAGCTGATTTAAGTCACAAGGACACTGGTCTTCAGGCGGAAAACTCTAGGGCCTCCTTGGGAGGAGGAGGGTGACAACTGTCCAACTCTCCAGATCCTGGAGTTCTGGAGCACATGGCCACGTATGTAGCCGCACAACACCTCCAAATTCCACAACGACAGCCCAGGAGGAGCACAGTAAATGAGATGGGAAAGTAGCAATGCTGCCAACTAAGATCAATCAACAAAACCAATGACACAAAGGCTCGGAAACAGTCCAGCAACCCCTCGATGACTTGAGTAACACCACCGTGAGATGTAACCATTTTCACAAATTCTCAATTGCCGAACTAGTTTTTGATAATTCCAACTACCATTCTGTTGCAACAAACAAGATAAAGCAAATGATTTTATACCCGCCAGGCCTGGGAAGTGCATGGAAAATAGGGAACAGTGGTAGAAGAAAGGTCAGAGCAGTGGTGGGATTTGGGTTGGAACAAGGGATGTCTGAAACAACTGTATCATGAACAACTTCGTAAATCACGATGTTTAAAAAAGTTTAAAAATTGGGACCAGAAAGATTTAAGAGAACAAAAAGTCTGTCACAGGCTGGGGCGAAACTTAAGACATAAGCAGTGGGCCTGCACGTGGCCTGCTTTGGTCCCTGGCATTCCAGTCCCTCTAGGATTGATCCTCTAAGCTCAACACCAGGAGCGAGCCCACAGCCACGACTGAGCCCTGTTGTAGCCCAAACCTTCCCCCCCCTCCCCCCAAAGAAATAAAATTAAACCCTGGGGCCAGAGTGAGAGTATGGTGGTTAGGGCGTTTGTTTTGCACATGACCTGGTTCAAGCCTCAGCATTCCATATGGTCCCCCAGCACTGCCAGGAATAATTTCTGAGCGCAGAATCAGGAGTGATCCCTGGGCATCACAGCATGTGAACCCACCTTCCCCGCCAAAAAAAGCCAGAAATAAAAACCCTCTTGTACTCGAAAGGCAAGACTGTTTTTGGGGGTGCTATGGATCGAACCCAGGCCCTCATACATACAAATTACCTCGTCTCTACCTCTAAGACTGTGTCCCAGTCTAAGTATTATCTAAAAAGGATAAAAATCAAAAAAGAAAAATCATTTATAGGGGCCCCAGTGATAGCACAGTGGGTAGGGAGTTTGCCCTGCACGCAGTCGACCTGGGTTTAATCCTTGGCATCCCATAGGGTTCCTTGAGCACCGCCAGGAGTAATACCTGAGTGCAGAGCCAGGAGTAACCCCTGAGCATCACTGGGTGTGACCCCTGCCCTCCCCCTAAAAAAATCATTTCTAGAAATATGAAGGTCAATGCCAGAAAGAAAAAATTAAAGAGTGAGAAGTAAAGAGACTTCTTAGAAAGTGGAAAATGGGACCACTGGAATCTGCTTCCCTCCTGGGGGCCTGAGTGACAGTACAGTGGGGAGGGCACTAGCCTTCCAGGTGGCTGACAGGGGTTTGGTCCCCGGCACCAGATAACAGCAACCTCTCGGGCCCCACCCAGCCCCAACAGGAGTGATCCCTGAGCGCAGAGTCCTGAGCACCGCTGGGTGTGGTCCCAAAACAAACCAAGAAAAAATTCTCCCTCTCCCTTCCCTTCCCTTCCCTCTCTCTTATTGCTGCAGTGACGGAGAAGCATACATTTGGGCTGTGATGCTTGCCAGGGGTGTGTGTGTGTGTGTGTGTGTGTGTGTGTGTGTGTGTGTGTGTGTGTGTGTGTGTGTGTGTGTACACCCCTACCCATGCTGCTCGCACTGCCATCTAGGGGGCCCTGGCTACAAAGCCAGAGACGACATTTGTGGCTGGGTGGCACCAGTAATCCACTGGAAGGTGAGACATTGAATGTGTCCCTCCCCTTGTAAGGCAAGAGCTTTGTCACTGAGCAGTTTCTGGGCCACTACACGCTTTTTATGATCTTACAGAATAAAACTAAAAAATGAAACTAGAATACAAAATCAGAGGGCCATTAGACAGAGGAGTGCAGGATCAGCCCTCTTCTGTGGAGAAGGCGGGGGATCTGTAATTCAGAGGCTTTTTGTGTCTGGGGCCTGAAGCTGCACCTGACAGTGCTCAGAGGCTATTCCCAGCGCCGGGCTCCAAGGATTATGTTCTGGACTGAAGTACATGCAAGAGCCCGAGCCATCTCCCTGGCTCATATCACTCAGTGGCTGTCCAAGATTTCTGGGTATAAAAATACACCCTAGTTGAAAAAAACTGCAGAAGAATACATGACACTATGTGAGAGCTACCTCGTACCATTAGAATTTATGATAAAGTTTCTAATAAGGGCTGAGGATGCAGTGCGATGATGGCAGAGCACTTTCCTTTCATGTGAGAGCAGCTGGGATTGCTCTCTGACACACGGAAGTAAAATCATCACAAATCAAACAAATAGAAACATCTCTACTTCTGCCTCCTTCTAACATCCTGTGTCGGTGGGATGGCACAATTCTGCTGAAATCCTGAGACCTGGGGCCAGGAGACACCAGGGATTCGGCCTACCCAGTCCTGGAAGCCGTCCGACCAGCAGAGGCCCTGGGCGCTTGCTCTGAGTTTGGGCCCCGCTGGCTAAGTACACTGGGAGAGGCCCAGCAGCCCTTAAGTCTCATTCAGGAGGCCCAAAATACAACAACAAAACAAGACGAAGACAGGGTGTGTAGGGCCTCAGCAGAGTGAAGCAGTCTGGGCAGACACAAGCCATCTGCACGAGGGTCATCGGGCCTTCACCGAGGCACTCTCTGCTAGCTGTGATACCAGACGACCCCCTCCACCCAGAGGAACTCCGTGAAGTGGAGATGAAGGGCACACCCGCACGTAATGCTGACACACAGTGAGCAAGTAACACACTTTAACCATTCCTTACGTTAGCGACCACTTTCACTTCTTTGTACTGTGCTTCATAGAAAATTCCAGCATTTTCCAGTGCTTCTGTGAGCGAGGGCCCATTTTTCACTTGCTTATCTAATCCATTCACAAATTCCTCCAGCTTGGAGCTCGCCTCTTCGAATTCTTTGGAGAATTTCTTTCCACCTGTCTTATCTAGAATAACAGAGGAAGTCTTAATTTCAGAATAAAAGAGAAAGGCTCGGAAGAAAGTACCTCTCTCGATGGCCCGGGCATCTGCTCTGCCCCCGGATGCGCGCGGAGCGTCGGCACGGGAGAGGGAACTGGACCTGGCCAGAGGATCTGGGCGTGAAGGGGGGAGGGGGCGGGGAATATGCCCATCAAAATCTTTTGTTTTCGTTGCTTTTGTTCTGCTCTATGGGTCATCCCCTGCAGTGCTCACTGCTTACTCCCAGCTATGTGCTCAGGGGACCATATGTGAACCTGGGGATCAAGCTGGGTCAGGCAGGTGCAAGGTTAGTGTTAATTATCACTCTGGCACCCAAAAACTAAGTGTTGACACGGATATAAGCACAGGACTCAAACTAATAATTTAGAAAAACAAGAAAAAAAATCCTTTTCCAAGGGGCTGGAACACTGTGCCGGGACTCTGTCACTAATAGTACTCAAAGTCACGGCATCCATATACAAATTCCAAGAAAGGAAAGGGGCCACCAAAACACAAGAACCAAGAAACGCCTCAGGAAAATAATCCAAGTGAACCAGAAGAATGCACCAGGGAGGGGCCGGAGTAACAGTACGGTGGGGAGGGTGCTTGTCTGGCACGCGGCTCGCCTGGCCAGGTTCCATTCCCAGCACCTCATACGGCCCCCCAGCACCACCAGGAGTGATCCCTGAGCACACAGTCAGGGTAAGCCCTGAGCACACCTGGGTGTGCCCCCAACCCCCCACCCAAATTCTATCACAAACGCACCTATGACAAAAGAAAGTTTGTTGATGGCTTTCCACCCCCCCAAATTTGAAGCCACAGTCACGTAAGAATAGTGTGGGGGGGAAAGGAATAGTGGGATGAGGGGCCGGAGCCATAGTGCTGTGGGGAGGGTGTTTGCTTGACATGGCTGATTTAGGTTCAAGCCCCAGCACCCCGGATGGCCTTGGGCCCCCTAGGAGTGATTCCTGAGCACAGAGCAGGGAGTAAGCAGAGTAAGCCCAGAGCACTGCCCAGTGTTGCCCCCCCCCCCCCCGGAAAAAAAGAATCCTGTGATGAGGGGCTGGAGCGATAGCACAGCGGGGGGGCGGTTGTCTTGCACAGTGGCAGGCTTAAATTTGATCCCCGGCATCCCACAGGGTCCCCTGAGCCCACCAGGACTGATTCCTGAGTGCAGAGCCAGGAGTAAACCCTGAGCACTGCTGGGTGTGACCCAGAAACAAAACACAAAAACAACAACAACCAAAAAAACCCCCAACCATTGAAATCATTACCCACCAGAGTTGCTTTCTACAAGTCAAAATTTTCATTATGAGGGAAGCCTGCTTGGCTACTTGCGAATGCCAGAGCAGAGAACATCTGAGTGACTCTGTGTAAGGGTCTAGGGTCACCTTTCAAGCATTTGAGGGTCTCTGTGCTGCACACGTCCACCCGCATTGTTGACAGCTGCTTCTCCTTCAGTTCGATCTGCTCTTCAGAGCGTTTGTAGAGCAACAGCTCTTCAATGAGGGCCTGGGACTAAACACAGACAATCGTGATTCATGAACATGCTGGACCAGAAAAACACTTGCCACATTTCCTCATGACCTGGGCAAACTATCAATTCTCACATCAAAATTATTTCAGCTATATGGAAAAAGCTGCTTTCCAGGCCAGCAGTACAGGGAAAGGTGCTGCTTGTTCAGTCCTAGGTCAGTCCACTGAACACCACACTGCCAGGCTTGGCCCAAAATTCTGGGTCCCTCTACTCCCACCCTTTGCCAAAAAACTCCTTTACCTTGGCTAGTACACTGGTTTATGGACACAGTTTTAAAAGTGAAACAAACACTTGGGGGCTGGAGCGATAGCACAGCGGGTAGGGCGTTTGCCTTGCACGCGGCCGACCCGGGTTTGATTCCCAGCATCCCATATGGTCCCCTGAGCACTGCCAGGAGTAACTCCTGCGTGCAGAGCCAGGAGTAACCCCTGTGCATCGCCAGGTGTGACACAAAAAGGGAAAAAAAAAATAAAGAAACACAAGGTCTCCTCATAACACCTTTAAATTTTTCTTGGGGGGGGGGGGGGGGCAGAGTGGTAGTCCAGCAGGAGGGCACTTGCACTTGGCTGACATGTATTTGATCCCCAGCATCCCGTACGGTTCCTGAGCCCTGCCAGGAGTGATTTCTCAGTGCAAAACAAGGAGCAAGTTCTGAGCACCACTGGGTGTGACCCAAAAACAAACAAAAAATTTTTTTTCTGGATGGGGAAACAGAAAAATGACAGGTTGTTTTCTTTCTTTCTTTTTTTCTTTTTGGGTCACACCCAGCAATGCTGAGGGGTATGACTCAGGAATTACTCCTGGCGGTGCTCAGGGGACCATATTCGATGCCAGGGATCAAACCTGGTCAGCTACATGCAAGGCAAATACCCACTGTACTATCACTCTGGCCCCTGGTTGTTTTCTTTAAATTGCAACTAAAGCCTCTATTATGTTGACTAACAAATTAATGTCAGTGGAGCTTGTGAGAAAGATAAATCCCCTTGTTGGGGTTCAAACAGCATTTAGCTACTGAGAAAATATTCTGGAAGATTATATTTCCCATTAGAGGAATATATAAAACTTCAAGTATTCTGATTCTAATCTGGACTCTGCCGTAACAATTCAAACATATTTAAGTTTAACTGATGCACATCTCAATAAAGATAAATTTCAATGGACTTGTAAAAAAACCTGTAAGACAAAGGGGCTAACGATGCCTAGCGTATAGCAATGTTTAACATGGTAAACATATACCACAACTTACTCGAAATTCAGCAACTATCTTGGACTTGAGAGCAGCTTTTGGATTAGTGGACGCTGTTGGAATTAAACAAAAAGGTCATAAAAATATACACACAGTTTACTAGGAGTCAAAGAAAGCATCAGTTCTAGTTTGAGGATGCACCTGATCAATCTATGTCAAACATATACATTTAAATCATGACGGAATTCCTTGAATAATGGAATGTGAAATTTAAATATTCCCAAGCATGGTAAACATATAGTGTTTAGACAGACTTAACCTACTTACCTACAACAAATCTTTGAGTCATAAGTTCTAACTGATTGGGAGACACTGAGATATAGCCCCTCATTTTTCCTGTCTGTGAATAAGAGGATTGCAATACCTCAAACCAAGAGTGCTCAGGGGTAAAACATCCATTTAGTCCTAAGTAAGGTAAAGGTAAAGGCCCTCCCGTTGATCGTCGATTTGCTCGAGCGGGCCCAGTAACGTCTCCATTGGAGACTTTGTTGTTACTGTGTCTGGCATATCGAATACTCTCGGTAGCTGAAGAAAGTGACTGAAAACTATCAGCTCTGCTCTTACGCATTCAGCTTTGGATTTTCCTGCCGACAATTCACAGAAAAACAGCAAGGGAAAAAAATTTTTTTGTCCTTTTCTTTTTGGCTGACACCAATCTGCTCATGGCTGACTCCTGGTTCTGTGTTCAGGGATCACCTCGACAGGCTTGGGAGAACCGTGCAGGATATCAGGGATTGAATCCAGGCCCTTCACAAACAAGGCCAAGTGTCTTCCTGCCTGCATCATCTCTGACCTAAAAATATTCTAAGTACACTAGAACTACTGTGGTTGAACTTTTAACGGCAAGGATGTCTTCCCCTGTTCTTATGCATGTAACTTAAGACCAAAAGGATGTCCAGGGAGTTAATCATGACAGATGGCATATGCTAGCTAGAGCCAAGCCATCCTAAGTGTCCCAATTCTCACTGGTTTCACCTTGTGCCCTACACACAATCAAGTCTCTCAATATTCCAAAACTTGGGTCACAGCAGCCTATCACATACGGTATTCCAATCCCATGATCCCATGTTTGGTGAACATGATAAACACAGCAGGAGCTCCCTTAGACAATGAGTTTCTGGCCAGGATCTGTGGCCTTGTCTAATCTGAGATCTGAAGGCTGTCAGAGCTCCCACAGAGATGCTGCTGCTTCTTGTTTATTTTTTTTTCCGTTTTTAGAGAAGTATAGGGCTTTTGTTTTGGGGTCACACCTGGCCACACTCAGGGCTTACTTCTGGCTCTGAACTTAGGGTTGCTCCTGACAGGCTCAAGGGACGATAGGTGTGCCAGGCACTGAACCCGGGTCGGTCGTGTGCAAGGCAAGTGCCTCTTTCTATGGCTCGGCCCCTCTGTTCTTCAGTTCTGCTGATTAATGCCACTGCTCTGACTTCACAGGGCTCTGACCCCAAAGTTAGAAGTTAATTCCAAAATGCTAGCTTAGTGAGTCAGGAGGAGCCTCCCAGGCCTGGAAAATCACAGGTTTGCTCATGGTTTACGCCAGGTTCAATGTCAAAGGTCTACATTTTCTTCTGCTACCAAGAAAGGAGGTAATTTATATCAACTGAGATTTTGTTCCTTACTTTGTGATTTCTTCCACTGCTTATTCGGTGGTTTGTTCAGATTTTCTTTCAGCTGCTTCTGAGTTTTGAAAGTGGTACCTGGAAAACATTTCAGGTTTTGCAATCTGGCATTATGGGAAGCTGTTCTGTCTGTCCACTTCCGTGGCACAGCTGTAGCACAAAATAAGGCAATCCAAGACTGTGTGCCGTTTCTTTCTTTGCTCTTTGTTCATTTTATAAAACAAGAATACCCACCAGACCTCAGAAGCTTTCAGATACACTTACTTCCTACAATCAATGAAATCACTGATGTTGAGACTAGTGTAAAAGACAGAAAAACTACCAGCTATGAAAAACATAAGTAGGTAACAGCATCTTCAAAAATGCTGTTTTTAAAGTCTCTGTCTAGCCAAATGATGAACTTGATATCAAATATCAACAGTTTCTATTCCAGAGTTTGATTATGTGCATCTAGCACGTCGAAAAATCCAATAACTCAAAAATACAACTTATAAATTTAAAACCAAGCAAATCTGATGAATGACAGACAACAAAGACTTAAAAGAACAGCTCAGTCTGAATGGAAACACTGCCTGAAACTTTCCCAACACATCATCAGACGATATCATGGCTTAATATGTGTTACTCAATAAAAACAAAATCCAATTTTCCCCAAATCAATTCAACTTAAAACTTTAATTTGCAAAACGACAGACTTATTAAAAAAAAAAAGTCCATTTTAAACTAATGTGGTCAAAGAATAGCTGAGATAAGTACCACGAGGTTTACTCCATGACTTGGAGGCCAGCCGCACATGCTAGGGGAAAAGGCAGCTCAGATAGAGAAGGGAGCACCAAGTAAAGGGTGTTGAGAGGATCCTCCCAGGATGGGAGATGTATGCTGAAAGTAGACTATAGACCAAACATGATTGCCACTCAGTGCCTCTTTTGCAAACCACAACATCCAAAAGGAGAGAGAGAACAAAAGGGAATGCCCTGCCACAGAGGTAGGGTGGGATGTGGGGGTTGGGGGGTGGAAGGGATACTGGGATCAGTGGTGGTGGAGGATGGGCACTGGTGGAGGGATGGGTACTCGATCATTGTATATCTGAGACCCAAGCACAAAAATTTGTAAGTCTACAACTGTACCTCATGGTGTTTCACTCATAAAAATTAAAAAAAAAAAAAAGATAAACTAATATGGTCAGATCCAAAATTTTTTATTATTATTTAAAGAACCAGATATATCTAATACATGCAACCTAAGACTGGACAATTCTTGAATTTTTCTTTTAGAAGTGAAAAGACACTTACTCAAAGCTTCTCTTAATGCCATAATCATTTCTTCTGGGTACACATTTCTATCTTCCCAGATTTTAAAGATTCGTTCTACAGACTTAGAAACAGATGGATCCCTGAAAAAAGAGAAAAAGTGAGAAAGACATAAAATTGTTAACTTCTATACATCAACTGACAAAAGAAATGAATAGAAAGAACTCAGCTAAGTCATTATTGATCGTCCCCTTCAAACATGTCTGTGAATCCTTTAACATCAGATGTACCCAAAGGGCTGACTAGTACCAAGTCCTAATATGAACAGGAGAGAGACAGCTAGAATGGACGGAACCCCCCCCTCCCCGCCCCCGTGTTTGGTCCACAGTGTTTACTCCTGGCTCTGCTCAGGAGACAGTCTAGGATGCCGTGGATAGAGCCCAGGCAGCCACACACAAAGCATGTGCCACAGCCACTGTACTTTCACTCCAGCCCTGCAAACATTATTTTTAATGACGGTATCATTTATGACTTTCATACTTTCATGTACTAATACTGGATGCCGAAGTTGCTCCTGGTCCTCCGCACACACAACGCATTCTCTCTTCCTAAGGATACCCAAGTGTTTCCTTCATCCCGCTCCCCCAACGCAGAACATCAGCTGCCCCCCAAAGAAACAGCTGGCTCTCGTTCCTATCTGTGTTTGCACTTTCAATGCGATCACCTCTGCTTAAAATTAAAAAATACACACACATGTTTACTTACTGGTGGGGGGAGTGTCAGGGCTCACCTGACCTGCTCGGGTACCCAGCTGCGTGGGCCTGACAGAGAACACAATCACCACCGCGCTGCTGGAGTGTGCCAGGAATAATGGCAGGACCTCGACTCTCCAGCCCTCTGTGCCACCTCCTGCCCCCATATATTCTGTACATGTGTGCGTGTTTATGTGCCAGAAATCAAACTCGGGGCCTCACATATGTAAAACACAGGTCGAACCCCTGAGCAGCAACCCCAGCCTCTGGAAAAGATTTTTTAATATCAAGAATTTCCAATCAGAGGAGCTGGAGCAATAGCACAGCGGGTAGGGCGTTTGCCTTGCACGCCGCCGACCTGAGTTCGATTTCCAACATCCCATATGGTCCCCTGAGCACCGCCAGGAGTGATTCCTGAGTGCAGAGCCAGGAATAACCCCTGTGTATTGCCAGGTGTGACCCGAAAAGCAAAAAAAAGAATTTCCAATCAGGGGCTGGAGTGATAGTACAGTGGGGAGGGCGCTTGTCTTGCACGTGGTTGACCCAGGTTCAATCCCCGGCATCTCATAGGGTTCCTTGGGCACCACCAGGAGTAATTCCTGAGTGCAGAGCCAGAAAAAGCCCTGAGCACACCTGGCTGTTACCAAAAACAAAACAAAACAAAAAACAAGTATTTCAAATTGATAGAGCAAAGTTGCCCAGATCCAATCCAAAATATCATTAACGATCTGCACCTTTTTTCTACCTCCCCCTTCTCTGTCGAATTTTAAAGCCAATTCAAGCTGCCATATCATTTTCACCCTACTCTGAAAACAGTGTCCAAGAGCAGGAGACAGAACTCGATAGTCCCAGGGCACGGCCGACACAGGTAAACCTGGACTTGATCTCTGGTACCAAATGAAGAGTACTGCTGGGGGCAACCCTGAGAACACAATCAGGAGAAGCCAGAGACAGCCCCCACACCAACACAGCAGACAAGTCTAACCTTTTATAACTACTGTCAAATAAAACGAATGGCAATTCTCTGGTATTATCTATAGTCTATAACTCAATTTCCCTGGATGTCTGAAAGTTGGTATTTAAAGTTGTCTGTGGGGCCAGCGATAGGACAGTGGGCAGGGTGCATGACCGACACGGGTTCGATCCCCAGCATCCCTTATGGCCCCCACAAGCACCACCAGCAGTGATCTCTGAGTGTAGAGCGAGGAATAAGCCTGGAGGTATTACTGCCAGGAATGGCCCAAAATATAAAATAAAGTTGGTTTGTTTGAACTGGAATCCGAGGAACAGAACCTATCACATGTGGTTAAGTGGGGCTTCTGGGGGGGTGGGAGTTTCGAGCCGCACAGGGCAACGCTCGCCCACTGTACTATGGCTCCAGCCCAACACGCTGGTTTTACTGTTTTCTATGGAGTCATGAATCGGTTTCCTGCAGCTCCTGTATCTTCTCTGGACGACAGGGTCACTCTACCAACGTCACGGGGCACCTCCTCAGGACAATACTTGCTCCCCTCCTTAGCAGCTCCAGACTAGCCAATGGAGTAAGACAGTCGCTCCTCTTGCAAATGGTAGCCAACAGCTCCCTAGTATTCCAGTGTTCCCTTCCTTTTCTCTTTGCGGGCCTGCTACTCCCAGTAGTACACAGAGGCCCCAGTGCAGGAACGGAACCCCTCCCTTGAGTGCTTCCTGACCTCGTTGTCCATCTTAAGTAAGATCATCGCTTTGGTAATGACTTCACGTGCTATATGACAGATCTTTCCCCATTTGTATACTGGATCCCTTCTGTCTGTCTGTTCTTGGGCCACATCTGTTGGTGTTCCGGGGACCCTGTGGGCCTGGGAGAGAACCTGGCTCTCTGGCGTCCGACATGAGCCATCGCCCCAGTCCTGCACTGTATTGAGCCACACCCAGCTGTGCTTGGGGCTTAGTCCTGACAGCACCTGGGTCACTCCTGGCGAACCCAGCGGACCATATGGGGTGCCAGGGATTGGCTCAGGGTCAACTGCACACAAGGCAAACGCAAACGCACTCACTACAAGTACATATCAGAGCATTAGTTATTTTGTCAATGGTTTATTTTTCCAGAGTAAATTTAGATTAATGTCAACTTCCCAAAGAGAAATTTGGCATAAAGAATCCCCAAACCACTTATGACTTTGCAGTCAACATTCCCAAATAAAATTTACTTGCAATGGTTTCATATACTTCTTTTAAGACTATTCTTAGCTGTTCCATGTATTTTATTTCTAGTATGACTCACCTTCTCTCGCAACCCATGACTGCTGACAGTGACTGATTTTAGTCAGATAGCTTTCTAGGGTTTGTCTGTCCTGGAAAATAGCTTTGCTTTGTATACAGAGCCTGAAGATATGTGAAACTTTATCTAAATATACAATGCTAGTTTGTACTCAGTACAACAAAAATATTTTCCATAGTTTCTTTACTGCCTTTGCTGTTGCTATTGAGAAGTCTGGCGTAATGGCCTGTGATCAGGGCTGGAGCTATATAGCACAGCGGGGAGGGCGTTTGCCTTGCACGCGGCTGACCCGGGCTCAATTCCCAGCATCCCATATGGTCCCCTGAGCACCGCCAGGAGCAATTCCTGAGTGCAGAGCCAGGAGTAACCCCTGAGCATCGCCGGGTGTGACCCAAAAAGAAAAAAAAAAAAAGCCCTGTGATCTTTTTTACTCTTCGCTCCTTTATTATACATGTTGTTTTTGGTTTTTGTTTGGGGCCACAGCTGGCTGTGCTTAGGGAAGCAGATGAGGTACCAGTCAGCCACAGTGTAGGGCAAGTGCTCTACCCACTGTACTATCACTATGAACCCCATCCACTAGTAGGTTTACGGTGGTGAAATAGAATTGACACAAAAATTGCCATTTTAACCGTTTTTATAATAAAAAGAAAATTAATTAAAAAAATACAGGATCAGAGTAATAGGACCATAGGGAGGCCATTCGTCCTGTATATGCCAACCTGTATTTGATCCCTGGCGCCAAGCCAGGGTTCTCCAAGCCCCCCAAGAATAATCCCTGAGCTGAGAGCCAGGAGTAAGCACTGAGCACCGCCAGGTGTGGCCCCAAAGCAAAAACAAAGAAATTTTCGTTAAAATGCACAACTCAATGGCACTGATCACACTCACGATGTAGCATGTGCTCCATCACCAAATTTTCCCAGAGTTTTCATTAATTTAAACAGAAACCTTGGATTATTGAACAACAGAACCAGGACTGCAGAAACAGGACAGGAGTCAAAGCACGTGCCTTGCACCCGGCCTATTCCAGTTTGAATTCCCAGGACCACATACGGACCCTGATAACCAACAGGTGTCACTCCTGAGCACGGGCCAAAAATAAACAGCCTCTGAGCCCCTGGCACGCCACCCCACAATGAGGAAATAAACTCCATCGCCCCTCCCCTGTAAGTCCTGGTAACTTCTGATCTACTTTCAGTCTCTTGAGGTTTTCCTATTCTGAATAATGTCTGTGAATTGGCCACAGAGATGGCACAGTGGCAGGGCAAGTGCCTTGCGTGCACCTGTTCCGGTTTAGACCCCCGGAATCCCATGTGGGATCAGAATGCAAAGGCAAGTGAAAGTGCTTTTAGGAGTGATCCCTGAGCACAGAGCACTAGTAATGTGCCTTGGACCCAGCCCTGTGGTATTCCCCCCCAAAAGATCCAATTTATGTAAGTAGAATCATAGAACGTTTGTCCTGTGTTGGCCCACCATTGTGGCCCCCCGCCAAATAAACTAGCAAACCGATGTTAAGTAGAATCACAGAACAATTGTCCCGTATCTGATTTATCTTAGTACTTTTCAGTGCTTACTCATATGCATCAAATTATGATTCCCTCATTTATTTTAAAAACATTTTTCATCTTGACTTTTTTTTGCTTTCTGGGTCACACCGGCAATGCACAGGAGTGACTCCTGGCTCTGCACTTAGGAATTACCCCTGGCAGTGCTCAGGGAACCGTATGGGATGCTGGGAATTGAACCTGGGTCGACCGCGTGCAAGGCAAATGCTCTACCTGCTGTGCTATCGCTCCAGCCCCAGTAAAACCAAATTTTTAAAAAAAATAAAATAAGCACCAAAATCTAAAAAATAGCACTTTTACTTGCCTTAGTATCCTAAGGGCTCTGTTTTAGTTATTACTATTCTCAAGCTCAACTACAGAACGTGCAATTACCACACAATTATAAGCTTTATTATTTAACTTTTAAGCAACCGCCTAAAAAAAAGCCTGACTTCACAGAACAGCTAGGGTGTTAAATAGTGGCTTCCTTTATTAGCAACCCGCCCTTCGACCACTGAAACAGCAAAGAATTAGCAATAAATTCTGAGAATCAAGCTAAGAGCAAAAGCAGAGATGAATAACCAGGAATCAGA